CCAAAAGATAAGAGGTGGCACGGAGGCCTCCTCGCCCCCTGCCCTCCCCTGGCTCATGCGCCTCGGCCGCAGGAGGCTTGGCCCTTCTGGTAACCATAACCTTATCGGCTCTTTTTTTGGGGTTTACTGGGATTTCTGTTGTTGCAGAGGGGCAAAAGGGACACACACCCCTCTCCCTGGGTGCGAGGGAGGGGAGGAAGCAGCTCAGCATCTTCAGCCAGGAGAAAGCAAGCAGGAGCCGAGCAGCGGTGGGGCGCATAAGGAGGTTTATTAGGGAAGGCTGCCTGGGGGGAAGGTGGGAGAGAAGGCGAGCCCGGGCAGCGCTGCCCGGGGGTGGGAGGAAGGAGAAGGGGTCTTTGCCAGCTTCTCCTCTCCACCCGCTGCCGGCTCTTTTTTTGGGGTTTACTGGGATTTCTGTTGTTGCAGAGGGGCAAAAGGGACACACACCCCTCTCCCTGGGTGCGAGGGAGGGGAGGAAGCAGCTCAGCATCTTCAGCCAGGAGAAAGCAAGCAGGAGCCGAGCAGCGGTGGGGCGCATAAGGAGGTTTATTAGGGAAGGCTGCCTGGGGGGAAGGTGGGAGAGAAGGCGAGCCCGGGCAGCGCTGCCCGGGGGTGGGAGGAAGGAGAAGGGGTCTTTGCCAGCTTCTCCTCTCCAGCCGCTCGGCTGCACGCTGGGGGAACCCCCGCCTCACCGAGCCACGGGCCAGATGCCGGTCACTGCTTCTCTTCGGGATCCTCCGCTCCCCTCGGCGCCCCGGCCATCAGGTTGCAGGCAGCCTTGTGCTTCGGCCAGTGCTGGACCTGGCACGCCCTGCGGAGGGGAAGGCTGCGGGGCTCTGCTGCAAGGCGGGGCACCCACAGCTCGAGCAGGACACAGCGGGACCACGTCCATCCTGGGAGCGAAGCAGTGACAAGGACAAACCCCAGCACCGCGCTGCTCCAGGCGCTGGAGGATGGCCAAGCATCACCCAACAGGGAGGCGGACGCGGCCCCCAGCTCTGGGGGCTAAGAGGGTTTAAAGACCCTATCACCAGACCTCGCCAGATGGTTTAGCGCCGGAGAAGATCTAATTTACTGCCACCGTCCCAGCTGCTGCATCCCAGCCTGTCACCCACAGCCACACAGCCACAGGCACTTTTCTTCCCCCCCCCGCCCCACCAAGGTGCCAGGGAAGGAGACAGT